ACCCTGGGGGGATCCCAAGGCATCCTTATATGTTTATGTATGTGTTAGGTAGTATGATAGATACCTCTGTGATATATGATATGTTAGTTGATTATGTATGTTGTTGCATGGAAGACCCCGAGGGTAGCCCATGACAGTTGGATATGAGACCATGTGGGGGAGCCCATGGCATTCCTAGGTAAAGAACATGGGGGAGCCCATGACATGAAGGTATAAGACCTTGGGGGAGCCCACGGCATCCTTATATGCTATATGTATGGCTTATGTGATATATGTAGCTTTTATAGCTAATATGATATGTGTTATGTGATTGTGTGTGGGGTATGATCTGGGGGACTAACTAATCTTTGTGCTTACGGTTTACAGTTTTGGTTTCAGGTATCATCGATTTGGAAAAGAAGGGCTCGGATTAATCGTAGTGCACACACCCATATTTTCTACATTGAATGATTTTGGGATGAACTCTGATAAATGTTTTAATTAACGATGTTTGGGATGTTTGGAATAAATGATATCTATGATTTGGCTATATTATAAATTAAATTTTTACCCTCGATTTTTGGGTCGTTACAGGTCGGCATTGGTGCCTTCGACCCGCAAGTACAGTGAGGACAACTCACCTCACAAGTAGTGCAGAACTGATAATGTCTGACTCCGAATCTCAGCTCCCGACTCAAATGCCTACAACCACCATGCAACCAATTCCATTAAAACCCTGAAATACCCAAAATGCCCTCAAAGGTCATCTTGGTCAATCATGGTCAAAGTCAAAGTCAACGGTCAAGGTCGGCAGTTCATGTTGACCCAACTCGTCGAGTGCACCTGTGGACTCGTCGAGTTCCACAGTACTCAGAAAGTCAGGGAAAACCCTAGCCAACTCGCCGAGTTTTCCCCAACTTAACACATTCAGATGATTCTTCAATTCCATGGACTCTAAAACTGATATCTGAACTCTAAATGTGTCTAAAAGGATAAAGTTTCCAACTTTATCCTTTGGGGCTACCCCAAAAGCTCAAAAACCCCTCCACAAGGCTTGAAAACTCAAAGTCTTAACCATTAAGCACAAAAACCTAGAGATCTGGAACCCAACCTTTCCAAAAGAGATTCTAGCCTCAAAAAACGTCCCAAAGGTTGGTGCTTTATAAACATGCATGTCCAATGCATGTCTTGAACCCAAAATGGGTCAAAAAGGAAAAATATGACCTAAACTCCATGCATGGCATCAAAGCTTGACAAAAGACCAGATCCAACCCACTATAAGGCCACTTTGACCAGGAGATTCATAAAGTTGCAAACTTTATGAAGTCCATCCATTGCAACATCCAAGAATAAGGAGAAAAAGGGACCAAACTCAAGATCTAGCCATATACATAGATAAAAATCGGATCTTGAAATACTTACAATGGTCCAAAAGAGTGCCAAACTGAAGATGAGAGCTTAGCTTGCTACATCCTTGCCTCCTTCTCTTAATCTTCTCCTTCTTTTGCTCCAATATGCCACACTAACTCACAATATGAGATGAAATGAAGATTAGGGTTCACAAGGCCGATATTAGGGTTTGGAGGCTGATAAAAGATCAGCCTCAAGGACTTAAAGAGGTTATATAGGCTGCAAAACCTAAAATTTAGGGTTTCATAATCAGCCGCCAACTCGTCGAGTTTTCCTCTCCAACTCGTCGAGTTGGTCCAAAAAGATGTGCGGACCAAAGCCTTTCAACACGTCGAGTTGAGGCCATCAACTCGACAAGTTCCAAAGGAAACTTTCCTTTTGAATAATAAATCTCATACCTGGAAATCGGGATGTTCCACTAAGTGGTTCCGAAAAAGTCGGATTCAAGGTTTGAGAAGGTTTGAGAGAGAATGGGGTTGAGAGTTGTGAAGAAATAAGAGAAATCCGACCAATATTTATACAATTCTAGGGGTGCGTGTCGCGCTTATTATAAGGGTGCTTCGCGCCTTTGCAGTATGTTATCCTATTAGATTCTCGCCCCGTGTCGCAACTCGGTTCATCCACATCTCGTTCTTCTAGAAGTCACCACATGTCGCCATTTCGTGGTGCCACAAGTCAAAATTTTGTGGTGTCATTGCATCGTGTCTATTAGAGAGGGCGGCTACCCGACCATGCCATATGGCGCCACCAGGTGTTGCCACATCATCAGTCCATGTAAATTCTTGTAGATCTTCGGACTGTCGTAACTTTTGCATACGATCTTTGTTTTCGACGTTATTTATATTCTTGGAATCCCCTCAATGAGCTCTTCAACTTTCATTAAGGTCTCAACAGTTGATTCTCACTCTAACTAAAATTCATATTTAGATCGGTTTAGAATGTTAAAGTTTGTGCAAAATTCATAACTCCTTCATACGAACTCTGTTCTTGACTATCTTTATATCGATGAGCTCATATCCACGAGATCTGCAACTCTTGTTTAGATTGTTTCGGAACAATCAACCGATTTGAATTTTGATTTCTTTGTCCGCATTGTTGCGTTGAAACTCAAAAAAATCATAACTTCTTCCTACAAAGTCATATTTGTACGTTCTCTATATGCACGCTCTCGTTTTACATTACTACAACTTTCATTTATATTAGACTAATAAGCAACTTAACTTCAATTCCCTTTTTACGATGTGCATAGTCATGTCAGTTTTAATCGCGAAGCTTCAAAGAAGCATAACTTGTTCATAGGATATCGGATTTCAGAGTTCTTTATATGTAGAGAATCATTGTCACATCTACTATAAGTTTGGATAAAATCATTTATCCTAAATAATCTTCTATCAAAATAATTTATTTATCGCTCGCGCGACAAATAATTATTACTTATTATATCTTAAGTGTCTAGCCTGAATCTGCGGGCGTTACAGGATTCTAGTAGTAGCACCAGCAACGTTTGGTTTTTCCAGACGTAGTGCAAAAAAATTCAAAAAAATTCGAATTTTTTTTCTACTGTCGTGACACTACTAAAATTTTCTCGTGACATCTCTACTATGAAATCCTGCGTCCGCCACTGTCGAGAGCCATAGTGACATTTCCCTTTCATCTCTCTTTGCATTGTGTAGTGTAGAATTGAGTGCTTATAAGTTGTTTCTTCTTAAGACTAATTTGGTATTAGTTCTTAATGGTTTAAGAATTGCTTAATACAAATGAATACTAGCATCTTTGGTGATTTATCTTTGCTTAGTGGATACATATAGAAAGCCTCTACTTTTAATTTGTTGTCACACTTCATCAACTTTCAATCTCCCATCAGAATCAAAAAGTTCAAAAATTGTAGTTTTTTTTCCTTCTATGGCTACAGGGGCGGAATACAGACATTTTAACTGGAGGGGCTGAAATCAGTAGTCATTATTTTATTATTTAGATGTAGACTATGTTATATAATTTACTAATAGTAAACAAAATAGTAAATTATAATAACAATCTATAACTATATTTCGATAAAAACTAATTGTTTTAACTTTAGTGAAATTTATTTTTCAAAATTAGTAATTATATATTATTGGCAATTAGCATAACAAACATTAAATAACATTAAAAATAGTACAAACTTATAGTCAGGTCTTTCGAGAAAAAAACTTATGATAGCCTATCTAATTCTACTAAAAGTAATACATCCTAGCTAATTCTTTAAAAATGATGCAGAAAACAGCATTGTGACATTTGAGGGAGAGAAATGGAGAGAAATAGATAACAGAGGATCTTACTAATCTGGCTCAATAGAAAACACTGGCAGTGGAGGTAGTGAGGCATCGTTGATCTAAGATGTAATGTAGCGTACGGTGGAGAAAGCTCTCCGACGACGGACTGTCAGATGTTGATTTCAGAGTTGTTGGTCGCAGAACGGGTGAGGGGAGAGACATGGGTCAGCAGAGGCGGACACAAGAGAACTAGTGGTGAGCATTCCGGCGGCGGTGATATATTCTAGTTAGAAGTCCGGCGGTAGCTATGTTTTCCGGTGAGAAATCGTTTTTTTTCCGGCAAAATGATGAGTTTTAGTCTATTATCTTCTCAAATTATGTGTGAATAGATTGGATATCAAAATAGTTTTCTAGTTTTTTTTAAAAAAAAAATTGTTTCCTAATTTATTAGAATCCTAAATTTACTCAGAATTCGTTTTGATGTTTTCAAATTTAGCTGAATCTTTTAATTATTTATTTACCTGTTAGATTGTTATGAGATTTATCAAATATCAAATAATATTGCCTTTCTCTTTTAGAGTTATTTATTTAAAATTGCATAGTGTATATCATAAACATGGGCCAAATGGTTAGTCAACAAATAAAACCAAACTTTTATATATAACATTAGTATCAAGGAGGTCAAAAATCAGGAGGGTCATGACCCCTCTGGCTTTATACAGGATCCGTCTTGTATGGTTGTTTTAATTATTTATATATCTTGCATGATGATCTTTATTGAGTATAAAATGGTTTTATAATTATTTATTTTAAAAAATATTTTCGTTGTTAAATTCGTAGTTTTTTAGACTATTTTTAATATAAGCCCAATAGTAACTAGATGAAGTTAGCATCGGAGACCATCCACGCAATAAATGCAAACCATAAATACCATCCATGTCAAAAATACAATAATATGACCAAATATATGAATTTAAGCAAACCATAGGGACCAAAGGAGTAATTTACTTTTTAATCGATAACCCTCAAATAATCACGTCGTTGATAAAAACTAAAAAACCCATTAAACTTTGAAACCCTTATTTCAGTTATTTGTACATGATTTTAAAATTTCAAATATGGCATAGATACTTTCACCCGACGATCTATCAGTATGTGCCACGTGTAAGCATCTCACTGCTAGAGCTCAAGATAGTATGTCACAAGCATCCCTATCTGATTATATACACTCCTTCCTATAAATATCCGAATTCATTAACCGATTTCTTCGTGAAGCTTTTTCCCTCTTCTCTAATCCACCAATTTTCTCCTGAAAGTTAATAAATCTGAATCGCAATTTTCCAAAATCATCTCTCTGAAATGGAATCACATCCTGATTTCACCGAATTGATCCCAGGTTTACCTGATGAAATAGCGCTAGAGTGTTTGACTCGTTTGCACTATGGAGCTCACGACGTCGCCTCTCATGTCTGTCAACGGTGGCGTCGCCTGATACAAAACCGGGAATTCTATTACCACCGGAAAAGAAGTGGGTTCACTCGGAAAGCTGTTTGTTTCGTCCAATCGCTTCCGATTCACTCTACATCAAATGTTAAACCCGAAAAACAACCGAAATACGGGTTATCGGTTTTCGATCCGATTACAGGTATTTGGGACCAAATCGACCCTGTTCCCAAGTACCCAGACGGGTTGCCGTTGTTTTGCCAGGTTACAAGCTCGGAGGGGAAACTAGTGCTGATGGGCGGGTGGAACCCGGTGAGTTGGGAACCTATTCGCGACGTGTTCGTGTACGAGTTCACTACTCGGAGGTGGACTCAACGAGTTAATATGCCATCAACTCGTTCCTTTTTCGCAACCGGCGCGTGTGACGGGAAAGTCTACGTCGCCGGTGGACACGACGAGAGTAAAAACGCTCTGAAAAGCGCGTGGGTATACGATATCTCCGCCGACGAGTGGACCGAGTTGACTCCGATGAGTGAGGAGCGAGACGAGTGCGAAGGAATGTTCGTCGGGTCAGAGTTCTGGGTCGTGAGCGGCTACGAAACCGACAGCCAAGGTCGTTTCAAAAGCAGCGCGGATGTTTTCGACACCACCACCGGCACATGGCGGCGCGTGGAGGAAGCTTGGGGAGTGAGTCGGTGCCCTAGGTCATGTGTGGCGGTTGGTCAAAACGGTAATTTCACGTCTTGGGATGAGGTCGAACCGGCGGTTCAAGTCGGGACCTGCGGGGTTGACCTTGGTGACTGCTCCGTGGTTACCGGTTCGGCTTACCAAGGAGCACCTCAAGCGGTTTTTGTGATGGAAAAGTCCAACCAAGGGCAAAATGGTAAATTGATAAAGGCCGACGTCCCCGATGAGTTCTCTGGGTTTGTACAGTCGGGTTGCCTCGTCGAGATATAATAGGAGCCTTTTTATTTACGTTTTTACCCTTTTCTTTTTTATAATGTATATATTATATTATATTATATATAGAGAGATCGTTAGTGATTGGATATGAGCAAGATATAGAATGCCATATCTCACACAATATTATGTAAGTTTTGTAACGTTGTATTGTGGCAATCTACTACTTCCTTTACAATATTTCTTAAATGTACAAATTATTGTAAATTATATATAAAAAAAACGAGTACTAGTTTATTGGTTGTTTTGTTTATGGTTCCATGAACCTATTGTTTGACACGTTGAATGTTGATTTTGATGTTTTATTAATTATGTGATGAACCAATCAATCAAGGGTTTTGTTGGCTTAGCGAAAATTGAAGTTTATTCTGTTTCTAAACATGTTTGACTTTAACTCTTTTATAAATCGATACATCATACATGTGTTTGTTTAATCAACGTTGTCTTGTCTCTTGTATAAATTCATACATGTGTTTGTTTAATCAACGTTGTCTTGTCTCTTGTATCAAATAAATTTGTGATATGATAGAACTTATGTATGTAAAAGCTACACTTAGTATAATATCTATGCTCATCAAAAGCAATTTAGGATGTGGCATCCGTCCAACTTTAAAAAGCGTTGCAATGCTCATTTTAATGATGTTGAGATTTCTTTGATACCTAATAGATCACTTAAGACAATATTGATGGGAGTTTAAGCAATTGCGAAACTAAATAGAAAACCATATGATTTTATAACTGGTTCAACCAATTGGTTCAAGAGAAAATCAGGTTCAACATGTATAAAATCAAGTTGGTCTAGAACCAACTTAAACCTAACAAGAAGACCGAGCTACTGTCATTCTTTAATTTTTTTTATTTACTAAAACAAACTTAAAGTCACTTTAAGTAAAATGAGTCTAAACCACGCCTCACTAAACTTCATATTGTAAAACTACTTTCTTCTTGGAGTCATGTGACTCTTTCCTCCTTCATGCCCCCAGATAAGCTATGTATTATGTTGTTTATAGGCTATTCCTTTCTTCTTTTTGTCCAACTAGTAAATTTTTTTAGGTCTTAAAATTTTCCTATAAAATATATAAATATATTTAAAAATTTAGGTGGATGGACCCACTTACCTTTTACATAGATTTGCCCTTGGTGGTAAGCACCATGGGTTTGACACGGTGGCTGTAGCGCACACCATCCCGTATGCATGGCGAGTAGCGAGTTTGATAGATTTTAGCAGAGCCTTTCGCCTGTTTCCTCTATTTAATCATCTCTCTCTCTCTCTCTCTCTCTCTCTCTCTCTCTCTCTCTCTCCTAAAGTTCCAAACGACTAGTTTTTGTAACGTCTGGTTCATGATATGCATTTAACTCATTAAATTATTCATTTTTATAGAGCTACTCGACGAGTTGGGAGCCCCAGACTCGTCGAATAGAAACGAGTCTTGGACGCGGGGTTTAAGCTATCTACTCGACGAGTCGGAAGCCCTCGACTCGACGAGTAGATCGGCCAGAGTGAAACCCTAATTTTGGAGTTTTGCACCCTATTTAAGCTCCTTAACCCCCACCCCCTTAGCCTCATTTCCAGCCTCCATGTCCCAAACCCTAACTCACGAAACCCTAGAGGTTTATTTGAGAGTGTGAGTAACTACATACCATTTGAGTGTGTGGCCTCATTTCCAACCTCACATAAACCCTAATTTTGTGTACTTTTGAAGCTTGTGGAAGAAGAAGAAGATAGAGGGCTCAAGAGGGAAAGAGTAGATCTAGCAACTACACACCATTTGCTACATTTTCTGGTAATCAATTTTCTATCTTGGCTATTAGTTCATTAGATCTCTTTATGTCCATTTTATGAGGGTTTTTGGTCCAAGAATGATAGCTTTTGGAAAATGATCGACCCAAGTGAGTATTCTTTCAGATCTAGGACCTTGAAGGGCTGATATGACATAAAGGTGCAAACTTTATGCCATTTGGAGCCCCCATGCAAGCCATAGAGTGTCATATTGGCCTTTTTTAGCCCCAAAAGGCCATACATGTGGAAAAAGGTGCGAACTTTAGGTGTCCAAGTAGTGTTAGGGGTTTAGATCTGAGGTTGTAAGCTTTATTTTGGTGTATGGATAGCTTAAGGACCAAGTTCTAGGTCCCAAGGAATTAGGGTTGGAGCTAAACCCTTTAAGAAGGGGTATTAATGGGTAAAGTTGGAAACTTTACCCTTAAAAGGACATTCTCAGGGTTTATGTGAAGTATGGAGCTTTGATCTGAAGTGTTGGGGCTTAATCCGTTAAGATAGCCCAAACAGACAAGGAGACTCGGTGAGTCCAGAAGGGGACTCGACGAGTTGGGTAGGGTTGTCCCGATTGTATACAAGGTCGAACTCGACGAGTCCGTGAAGGGACTCGACGAGTTAGTTTGTGTTTTCACGACTAAGATTGGCAAAGGAACTCGGCGAGTCAAGGGATTGACTCGACGAGTTGAGTCATCCCAAATGTTGACTTTGACTTGGACTGAACGTTGACTTTGACTGGGACTTTGACTTGACCAAGGTTGGCCCATGAAGGGCTCTTGACATAAGAGATGGTCATTTTACCCTTAGAAGGGTTATCAGTTTTTGACTAAGTGATTATTGTGATAATGATAGTCGGGGAGTTGTTGGAGCAGCCACTAGAGATTCCTCACACGAGATTTCAACAGCCAGTTTGAGAGGTGAGTCCTCTTCCAGTAGGAACGGGTCTAAGGCACCAAGGCCGGCCCGTTTAGTTAGTAGTAGTTCCGAATTACAGTCTGATGTCGGGCGGGCCCCGAAGTAAGTTTATATGTTATTTCGGATTTCGATCTGATGTTGGGGCGGTCCCGAGGAATGCTTGTATGCTTGATGTCTTTGTGATTCTTGCATGTATTTGTGCTTGTATGTTTCCGGACTCCGGTCCGATGTCGGGGCGGTCCCGAGGAATGTTAGTATGTTTCCGGATTACGGTCTGATATCGGGCGGGGCCTGAGGAATGTTTAAATGTTAATTGTAACGACGTAAATTTTCAAACAAATTTTTCACTTTAAAATCGCATACTTTTCATAACATATTGTATAAAAATCTCGTTTATTCAAATTACAAAACACAACTCCATTAATAATCCAGGATCCTCAAAACATAATTCTTTCTCTGGTGTGTACAATCAAGCCGGTGCCGTCCCGTGATCCTAAGAAACCTGAAACACATTACACATAACACGGTAAGCACAAAGCTTAGTGAGTTCCCCAAAATACCACATACACATATTAGCCACTCGAGGCTATAACTTTGTAAGACCTTCCGGTCAATGTGTCTCAGTGGGATCTTCCGGTCCCACAACTCTGGTAGACCTTCCGGTCCTACCCATGATGACCTTCCGGTCCTAACTCTGTAGACCTTCCGGTCCTACTCTGTTGACCTTCCGGTCCAAACTCTGTTAACCTTCCGGTCCAACTCTGCAAGCTCAGGACATAGCATATACGTATCACATAGATAACATACATCAAACTATGTTGACCTTCCGGTCCAAACTCTACAAGCTCGGGACATAGCATATACATATCACATAGATAACATACATCTCATAACCCTTATAACCACATAAGACCTTCTGGTCACACATAATTACCACTCTAGGTAAAGTATAGTGAGAAGACTCACCTCGGTTAGCAGGTAACCGACAAGCACTCGGAAATCTTGGACTAGCCTCCGCCTAACACATAAGACAAGCATCTCAATCATTATCCGCCTTATTACTCTTTATACTTTAAATCCTCTTTTCCTCTTTTGACCCTCAGGATGGGTAAAAGACCATTTTACCCCTCCTTGGCCCCACCTGCCCCCTTACCGGTCCACTCATGAAGTCAATAGAAGTCAACCTGGGTCAACATTCTATGTTGACCTGACTCGTCGAGTGCACACATGTGACTCGCCGAGTCCCCTCGAATTCTCCATGATCTTCCCAGGGTTCGCTCAGCTCATTGAGTTGACTCCCAACTCGATGAGTCAACACTGGCCAAGGCTACTGGGTCACACCCGCTACAACTCGTCGAGTCATCCCATGGACTCGGTGAGTTGGCTCCATTGGGTTACTCACTTAGCCACCTGAGGTCGGATCTATAGCTCTAACTCATAGATCTAACCTCCTACTACCCAAAAGTCGCGTAAAGGTCTGATCTTGATGTCCATGCATGGTGTATTTTGCATTATAAACCATAAAAACTCCATTAATGGTTCCTAGCTTCAAAGCCCAATGGTTGATCCACCATGGCTTCCCACTTTCGGACTCTGTGGACCCTCCAAGGTCCAGATCTATGCTATCAGCTCCTAAGAGGGGTTTGATGCATTCAAAACCCCACCAAGAAGTTAATACAAGCCCTAATCCACAAAAGAAAGATCTACTCAAATAGGGAAGAAAGGGGTCCGAATTGATACCTCCAACTGATGCTCCTTGGTTGCAAATCGCGGATCTACAACCTCCTCTGGCCCCTTTGGCTTGAAACCTTCCTCTTCCTTGCAAGATACCCACCAAGAAGCTCAACATATCTCTCTTTCTTGCCCAAAGCACTCAGGACTCGTTTAGGGTTCTCTCCTCTGAAGGGTAGCCGCAATAGGTGGCCTTAAGCGCCTTTAAATAGGTCCAGGCCCGAAAGAATTAGGGTTTCTGCTAACAGCGCTGACTCGGCGAGTCATCCCTCCGACTCGTCGAGTCCATTCATTTTCCACGTCACCCAAACGCGACCCTACTCGACGAGTGGAGGCACCAACTCGTCGAGTCACCCCAGGCAAACTCATACTCACATATAGAAATGTTATACCTCGGAAATCAGGATGTTACATTAATGATATATGCTTAAGTTTATGTGTATTATTTGATTATGCTCACATGTATTCCGAGATTTGCTCGATGCCGAGCGAGGCTCGATGTCGGGCGGGCCCCGATGCCAAAATAGGGTTTGATGTCGGGCGGTGACCCGATGTAGCAGGGGCGGGGCCCAAGATA